TTCTAAAATTAATCGCGTCGGCTAACCGATATAAATGCGGAATTAAAACAATCGGTCTAGCCAAGACTACACCCCTCTATATATGTTCACTAGCATCTTGCTAAGATACCAATTATGCAACAAAGGTGCCGGGCTAGCTAGAGCTCTCCTAAACAATTCTAAGAGCAAGGTTACACAAACATATGCCACTAGTATTTTAAGCGACAAGAGAGCTCCTACACATGCTAGTAAGTAAAAGCACAAAGCTAACTATGCTCACTAGCAATACTCAATAACAAGGCAACCAATGTCTAATTAGAGAGCGCAAGTACTTAGTTACACAAACTAAGCAATGTGACTAACAAGGTTACTAAAACCAAATTAGCCACGCAAGGGAGCTACTTCTATGCTACACAAGCAAGAAGGTAATTAGCAAGCTATACAAGCTATCTAATTACAAGAGCAACTACACAAGCTTAATATGTATAAAAGTAATTGCAAGCTTGTGTAATGGGGATGCAAACCAACGGGAAGAATAAGGTTGACACGATGATTTTTCTCCTGAGGTTCACGTGTTTGCCAACACGCTAATCCCTGTTGTGTCGACCGCTCACTTGGTGGTTCGGCGGCTAATTAGCATCACCCGCTAAGCCCGCACGTCGGGCGCCGCAAGAACCTACCCCTTGAGTGAGGGTAGCTCAATGACACGCTTTACTAGAGTTGCTCTTCACGGCTCCCGCGGGGCGAGCACAATGCCCCTCACAAAGCTCTTCTCCGGAGCGCCGCACAAGCTTCTTGCGGGCTTCGACGGAGACCACCACCAAGCCATCTAGGAGGTGGCAACCTCCAAGAGTAATAAGCACCACCGGCTTGCAACTCGATCACCTAGTGCCACTCGATGCAACCTCACGATGCAATCGCACTAGAATCGCTCACTCACACAATCGAATGATCACTATCAAGTATATATGTGATGGAGGGCGTCCAAGCACTCACAAGCATGGACACTAAGTCCCCTTAGGTGCTCAGCACCAGCCATGGTCGAGGGCCACTTCTATTTATAGCCCCAAGGGCTAAACTAGCCATTACCCCTTCACTGGGCAAATGTCGGGACGACCGGACGCTCCGGTCCGATCGACCGGACGCTGGACCTCAGCGTCCGGTCATGCGATGCACGCCACATGTCCCCTCCTTCAAATGCTGTTCACTGGATCTCAACGGTCATCTATCGACCAGACGCTCTAGCATGAACTGACCGGACGTAGCAACCCCAGCGTCCGGTCGTTTCCAGTAAGGTACCGGACATGACCGGACGCGTCCGGTCGGATGCGATCGGACGCAGCACCAGCGTCCGGTCACTCTCAGCTTTTCAGCTCTGCCTGCGTCACCATACGTCAGCTCTGACCGGATGCAGGACCCCAGCGTCCGGTCACTACATGACCAGCGTTCGGTCCACTCTGTGAGACCCTGTCTTTACTATCTAGGGCGCCGATGGCACCGTCAGACTGTCCGCACTCTACGGGCGGACACTCACGCCGGTGGAGTTTCTCCTTTCGTCTCCATTTCTTCACCGAGTTGATCCACATCAACTTCAACTTCATCTCCTTTGTAAATATGCCAACCCCACCAAGTGTACACCACCATGTGTATGTGTGTTAGCATTTTCACAATCATTTTCCAAAGGATTAGCCACTCAACTTGCCACGCCACTCGATCCTAGCAACGATGCAAAGTTAGATCACTCGAGTGGCACTAGATGACCGATATGTAAACAAGTTTGCCCCTCTTGATAGTACGGCCATCTATCCTAAACCCGGTCATAAACTTCTCTACACACCTATGACCGGTGAAATGAAATGCCCTAGGTTATACCTTTGCCTTGCGCATTCCATTCCATCTCCTCCAACGTTGATGCAACACATGCACCAACACGATCAACAATGATATGATCCACTTCATATCATCACGTGATCATATTGGTTCATCGATCTTGACTTCACTTGCTCTTCACCGTTGCCATCGTCCATCGACGCAAAGTCTTGCTTAAGCTTCACCGCCACGCGGCCCATCACTCCAAAGCCTCTGACTTACCCTTCACGCTTACAACCGGTCCATCAAGCCAAGTCTTTGTCTTGATCTTCTTCACCTTGATCACATGACTCAATGTCATGTCTCATTTGCAATAAGCTCCTTCATCATCACATGTGTGAGCTTTGCAACATCTCCAAGCCATTGTCGCCTTCATGGCATATGTTGCTCACATACATGTACATGTGGACTAATCACCTGTGTATCTCACATAAACACAATTAATCCACCTAGGTTGTCACTCAATTACCAAAACCAAACAAGGACCTTTCATCAAGGCACCTAGCACTTCCACTCACCCAAAGATCCTTGGAAGCCACAAATGGAATCCATATTTCAAGGTAAATGTTTACCTTCGATTCATAAATTGAATAGCACATGGTCCAATAACTTACACATATATTTTAGGACTGCATTGGCTTCATAGATGGAACACATTTCCTGGCTAGGGTGCCTAGGCGCATCCAACAAGTTTTCAGGGGTAGAAAAAAGGACTCCACTCAAAATGTCATGGTAGCTGTGAATTATGATCTTCTATTGTTGCCTACACCTTTCTCCTGGACAACAAGGCCCAAGGCAGGGGCTTTGTGAACATGACTGATGCCCATAGGACCATTTGGCTGCATACCTTCTTAGCCAAAAACTACTTCATGTAGCTGCACTACATGATGGTCTGCATGGACAGGAGTGGGTTGACTGTTGAGATGTATAGTTCCTCCACCCCCTCACTCACTCTCTTCTTTTGACTACAGCTAGGATTTTGTTTGCTGTAGAGCTTTTGTGCAGTGTAGGTTGATCTTTTGACACATAACCTTCAGTAGATGTATGCTTGGGAGGGTGGCTGACAATAGGCAGCAATTTGGTGCAGGCTGTTCATGTGCAAGAACTGTTAAATGTTGTATTTTGGCCAATGATGACACAATGGATCGATGCATTAGCTGGCTACATATCATTTTGCTGCCTCTTATCTGTTTATGTGAACTTCTTCGTTTGTTGGCTTCAAAACTTGACTAGCGGATGCTGCTGTTCTTCTTTACTGACTTTGATTATCCCATGTAGCCAGTAATGCCATGAATTGTTAAACTAGCATGTCTGAGGCCAACTATTGCATGCTGAAACTTTGATATGTTGTTGTAACGGTTATGGAAGAGCAACCTCATTCTTCTTTCATTCATGTCCATTTCTGTTTGTTGTTATGGGCCTGGCCGACCACAGCCAAATGACAAACACTATCTCGGTGTGACAGTTGGTGACGGTTAGCATCTTAGCCCGACTGCCTCTTCGATGACAAACATAGCCTCGTCTGAGTCGGGCTCACTGGGTATACAGGCGCAAACAAAAGCTGTTGCACCACTTGGGGCAAGCTTGCCCAGGCCTGGGCCAGTTGGGCTGGCCAGGCCGGCCAGGTACAGGGTCACAAACGCGCTCTTAGAGCAGTGTGTTGGGAAGGAAAAAGAACTAAGGATATCACCCCCTTGGTGGGTTTTTTTTTGACAACATCCCCCCTTGGTCCTTGAAGTAGTTTTGATAGCAGACAAGAAATTATAAAGATAAACTTTTGGCCAGCCAGAAGATCAGCTATCCAGTCAGTGCTGCCGCTGATTTTGCCACCACGCGTGCGTCGTATACTCGTCTCTCTCACAGCACAGCAGAAAAAGAAGAAGAAATTTTCATTTCTTTGCTGCGGCCATGTTTAGATTGCAAAAAATTTCAACCTCATAAATAGTAGCACTTTCGTCTTATTTGGTAAATATTGTTCAATCGTGGACCAACTAAGCTCAAAAGATTCATCTCGTGATTTCCAATTAAACTGTGCAATTAGTTATTTTTTTTATCTACATTTAATGCTCCATACAAATGGCTAAAAATTGATGTGATGGAGAGAGAGTAAAAAAACTTAGAATTTTGAGGGTATCTAAACAAGGCCTGGGTTGGCAATTGGCATGGCCGGTGTATTGGGCACTGTTCGAGGTGGGAGGCCGGCAGCGAGACGCGACCGCACTGTCGGCTCGGCGGTGGTGCCGTTGGTTTTGTGTCTGCCTTCACAGTTCACACCATCTGCATGCGTGACAGGTCAGCTGGGCCGCCCGTCAGACCGGCCTGGTATTTAATCTCGGGCTGGGCTACAACTCGAGAAGGCCCAATGGCCCCAACCAAACTACTGCCAAGCACGACCCACCTCCAGCCGCGCCCCACTCGATCTAGGCCACCTCAGGTCACATTGCCAAAAAAAAAAACAGCAAAGGGCCTATTTGCTTGGAGGAATCTTGATGAATCTGGAGGAATTTGTGAGAGCGTGAACAATATTTTTCATCCGGAAACAGTGAAATCCGGCTGGTTTTCACACCAGCCGAACGCAGCCAAAAATCCAAATTCCTTCCAATAGTACATCACAATATGCGATCCTCATCAGAATCCAGAGCACTGCAACACAGTACATATACAATACAAACGAGTCAAGGATGTCACCCAATTTTTAATGTCATCATAATAGTAACACCTCCCATATATATAAGATGATATACCAACTACTTACTAACATAATATTTACACAACTTACATACCCAAGGTCTATCTTATACATCCATCCTTGTTATTGCTTGTTGCCCGTCACTAAGGCTTTCACTAAGCTTAGGCAGATTATTACTAGACACGCATTAACTGTCATCTTGTTCAAACCAAACCAAACTAAAAGACACATTATCAAATCTTTTCTTTTCTGCAAAGCCTATGTTACATCACTTCTTCCTTCCACTGAATTCTTCTGAAGAAAGAACTGACGCCAGCAACCAATCTGTTGCGTTCTTCGTCATCGACAAGCTACGCCATCATGTTTCAGACTTTCAGCTACATCCCCTTGGCCAGCAAAACGACCATGCCAAAGGCTCCTAAACCCCACCCCTTCCATCCCTGCCCTGCTACCCTCCCTTCTTCTAAAAGCCCCTCTTCCCATCCTGCCCCGGGCAAGGGCAAGCCTCCATATCGCTCCCATCTCCAATGGGATGGATCACGATCTTCCTCGCCACCTGGCAAAACTCCCTGCAAGAGTTATTATAATGTGTGTGATTAACCTGTATAGTATTAAGCTCCTGTCTATTTTTTCTTTTCAGGAGGATATGCACAAGGTAGCTTACTGCCAAGGAACAGCTCCGACTTCCATTGTCTCATTCTCATCGTTAGTGAAAGTAACCTTCCATTCCTCTTTGGAGCCAAGGTCTTTTATCTCAAACATCCCTTCAAGCTCACCCATCAACTGCTCATACCCATCCAGATTTCCTAAATCCACAGCTCTGCCCACAGCATTTCCATGCATTTGAACCTAGCACAGATCAAACACACAGGTTACCCAGCAGTACAAATGGCAAGACAAGGAGAAAGAGAAGAGAAAAACAAAAAGTCGTTACCTTAATACGACTTCTTCCACTGCAACTCTGATGGCTTTGGATTTCTCGGGGGCTTTCATTCACCATGTGCGTATGATCTTTCGTGACTCTTGAAAGCGCCGATAGCTGACCAGAGTCTTCAAAAGAACCAGCACCTCGCATCGATGTTTCCCCTACCCCCACAGTCGTCTTGTCAGCAGTAGCACTCCTCCTAGTATGGTTAACCAAATTGACACCAAACAGACGGAACATGCCGGGTTCCTTCTTTTCTTCGACAGCAATGGAAAATTTTGGAGCAACCTCTTCAGTCTGATAGCTGCAGGGAGCAGTGTTGCAGGACAACTTGGAAGAGGGCTCCTCAGCTTGATAAGCAGAGAGCCCAGGCCAAGGAGGAACCCTCGCGTCTTTGCTGGTGACCTGAAACAGTTTCTGAGAAATCTCTGGCAAGGAAGGGGAGGCCCCTTTGCTTGAGGAATTGAAGTCCTTGAACCAGCTCCCAATTACTGCAGAATTCTGACAAATCGAACTACTCATGGCACTGTATCCTGGGCGTTCACTTGTCCAAGCGACTTGATGTACAGATATACAATTGGGTTCATTGGAGCTTATACTTGTCTTCTCATGCTGTTCAGGCCTTCCAGAGAGCCAGAATTCTTGAGCAGGTTCTGCAAAATTAAGAACATTAGACCCAAATTTCCAGAGATCTTTTTCGAAGACCAGCAATATGAAATTTTCAGTGTCATACCCAGCACATGAATATCCAGGCTTTCAGCTTGTCTCCCTAGGCCTTTTGTTTTTCATTGATGGTTGCACGGGTATGTTGATGGCAGGTGCGGATGCATCGAATGGTTCAATTTCCCAAGAGGAAACCCTCTCAGGGCCATTGAAGTTTGTGGCTTCGTCCCATTTGACCTAAACCAAGAAAATTGAGAAGATGTTCAGCATCTTGTCTAAGGAAAAAAAGTCAAATAATGATAACAAATAAAGCAGATCAAAGTGATCTTACCTTCAATGTCTTCCATTCAGAACCTTGCCATTGTGGAGAAATATCTCCTTTATCGACAACAGTTCCAGAAAACCTAAAGGGTTAAAAGAGATGGACTGATCATGTCAATATGAAAGGACAGCAAGTCAGCAACAAATTAAAGGAGAAACATATAAGGTGGCAGGATGAATAGTTACTTCTTTACAGGGACGTCTTCCCCTTCAAAACTCATCTTAAACCTCATGCCCACATTAAATCCAATTTTACTAGATTCAAGGTACTTGTTCAGAGTGACGATGTATTGGCTTTGGCTCAACCTGAGGAAACACACAAAAAAGAAACAATTAACAGAGAACGATAAGAACAGTTATATTAAAACAATTGATGTTAGGAAGTGTCCAACCTTGGTCTATAATACACTAGGAAAATGGAATTAGTCTTAATGGCATGTGATGCACTTGCAAGCACCCCAAGATGCATGCTTTGGCTTGATATAACAGATGCTGGCATTGTGCTTTGCTTCTGCACAAGGCGCCTCACTCCGACACGCTGCTCTCCTGTCTCACTCCTAAGAAAAAAAAAGCATGGTACCTTGTAAGTTGTACACATACTTGATACATGAGCATGCGCACAAGGTTTCCTTTTTTTGGATGCACAAGCTGTTTGTTTAAGTTCAGCTGAGATCTAACCTCAGGTAGACAAACGCATCACCAGCAATCAGCTTCTTTGATGTGACAAACGTGCTCCATCCAGTAGTCAGAAGGTGCCGACGGGGTTGGCCTAGAGAACCAAGAAATGCAGAATTAAGCACCAGAAATTACTTAAAGGTGCCATTTTTCCCTTGATCTGTGGCCAAAATGATTAGAAGACAATTCAGTGGAGACTGTACTGTACATACCCCTGTAGATGTGCTTGAACCTCCATTCAGATCCATGTAGGTCCTTCGTGATAAGCTCTTGGGTCGGGGTCGGCATCGACATATCCTGATGGTTAGCATGAAAAAAAAAACTAAGATTTTTCCGTCTCTGTACCACTTGAAGTGCTTAAAACAAGAAAACATGAGAATTATGCATACCAGTGGTGGGAGGCATTCGTTTGCATGACGCCGAAGAACGGAGAAGCCGCCATGAGTACTGGTGTCGGATGGTGTGAGGATCTTGCAGAAGGAGTGCACCACAGGCCTTGACGTCTCCGGCAGGGGTGGGTCAAGTAATGTGGGCAAATCCACTTGCTGCAAGCAACAAGAACAAATTACAATTTTTTTCACACAAATCCACACAGTAAATTCTCCTAGTACGACTATACGAGTGCACACTCACTGAATTGCTTTGCCTACAAAAATCGACATACTTGCAAACAGAAGAAGAGTTCATAACTGGGGGGATCCCATCCAAAAGGGTATGTAAGATGGGCAGAATTAGGGAGGGACAGCAGAAAGGACATTTGCAAAGCAGAGAGCAACCAAAAAGAAAAACTAGTAGCAAGTAAAATGATGGTGGTCCAGTCAGTCCACTCTGTGTCTGTACTCACATCTGGTTCGGGCTGCAGAGTGATCTGGGCGTACATCTCGTCCGTTTCTGTCTCGGCCTGCAGCACAGGTGCAGAGACACAGGGAGGGAGAAGACGAACAGTTAGCAAGTCGGGGCCTGGCACCAAATTGAAGTCAGAGAAGAGAAAGGCGAGTGAATTACATTGAGCTCGACGTTGACGACCTTGCAGAGGATCTTGTTGGGCACCTGGAACATCTTGATTTGCTCGGCCAGCAGCGTCGGGTCCGTCGGGTCTTGCAGCTGCAGGGGCAGCACAGGCGCACAGCAGCAAGAAACAATTAAGAGAGGAATTCAGAAAATATAGAAGAGAATTCCATAAAGAGTAGAGAGGGAGTGAGGAGCGACCTGCTCCAGGTGACCCTGGAGGAAGTAGAAGACCCTCTCGTCGGTCTGGGGCAGCTCCACGAGCGGCCCCGCGCAGGCGCGCCACAGCTCCGCGAACAGCTCCGGGTCCCGTCCTGCTCCTGCAGACAGACAGACAAACAAGCAGCAGGAGGGCGTTTAGTTTGTGGCCACGAACATGAACATGAAGAAGAGACGAAGGAACGCGGCGGTAGTATGCGGGGTGGTCTGACTGACTGACTCACCTTGCGCCATGGCCACGGGCTGTGGATTTGCGGTTCTTGGCTTGGCCTCCTGGTCCTGGTCCCGGGGATGAGAACGAAGCGAGCGAAACTGAGGAAGGGGAGAAGAGAAGAAGCGGGCAGTGTGGTCACCGCACCGGTGGTGGTGGTGGTGTCTCCTGGCCTCCCCTCTGCTGCTCCTGTTTCGAGTGTTTGTTAGCCTCACCCTCGCCCCTTGTTGTAGGAGAGGAGATGGAGATGGAGAGAGACGGAGATTGGAGCAGGGAGGGAGAAAGGCGCAGGCAGGGAGAGAGAGAGTGGCCGCGGCGGAAGCGGAAGCGGAAGCGGAAAGAGAAGGAAACGGCGGCGTTACAAAGCAAGTCGACTTTATGCCGCGGGACGTTTGGTTCGCGGGAAATAGAGGGTAAAATAGGGAAACGAGCTAGGGTGGAAACCGTATCCATTGTTTGCTTATGTGTGATTTTTATAGTATTATTAATTAATTATAATGTCATCTAAATATTTTACTGATGTGGAAGGAGAAGTAAAGATGAGAGAGAAGAAAAGCGACTGCACCGCTAGGCCTCGCCGGATGTGGTTCTCGTCATTTGCGTCGACCCCAGGGGCGGACACACGGGGGGCCCTCAAGCTCCCCTACCCGTACCGGAGCAGTGGAATCCCCTGTGGAGCCCCCATGAGTTTTTAGACAAAGTTCTATAGTGTAGGGGGCTGAGACTTAAGATCAAGCAGCAGTGTTGTTCAACCTCTCCCTGAAATATTTCCTGGATCCGCCGCTGGCCGCCCCGGTGCCATCTTTCTAGCCGAAACTCTTACCGTGCGCTCCTACACCACCTACCTCCGATCAGGTCCACATCACACTACTCGTACTCGTTAGCCTGACTGCCACGCCGTTGTAGCCTACCGCCCCACGCCCTACCGTTGCTTGCCGCCCACTGGTATTGATCGCATGGGAAGAGAACGGGAGCGAGAGAGATGTGGATAGGAGGGAGAGGAAAGTGATTGGCTAAAATATTTTAGGGCCTTATTAGAAAAAAATTTATACTGTGTGACGGAGTTTTTACGAAAAGTTTCTTAGTGATATGACATCTATGAAAATTAATAGATGTTTTTTAAGGCTAGGACTGCTCTTAGTAGCTCACCCCCTATGTAAATGCCACATGTGGCTTTAACACTCATGCCCCTGCATTTCTTGTTTCTTCCCTCTCACCAATCTAAGCCTCTTTATAGCCATTCTTTCTAGCCGAAACTCGGACCGTGCGCCTCTACGCCGCCTAGCTCCGATCAGGTCCATGTCGCACTGCTCGCACTCGTTAGCTTGGCCGCCACGCCCTACCGATGATTTTATAGCATTATTAATTAATTATAATATCAGCTAAGTATTTTGCTGATGCTAGAAGAAAAGTAAAGATGAGAGGGGAGAAAAGCGACCGCGCTGCTAGGCCTTGCCCGTTGTGTTGCTGGTGGTCTGCGGCCGCCCCGGTGCCATCCTTTCTAGCCGGAACTAGGCCCGTGTTTGCCCCTATGCCACCTGTCTCCGATTGGACCCATATCGCGTTGCTCGCTCTCGTTAGCCCGGTCGTCCACACCGCCACAGCCCGCTGCCCCCACCCCTACCGTTCCGCTTGTCACCCACCGGTATTGATCGTCGAGGAATGTGGATAGGAGGGATAGGAAAGCGATTGGCTAAAATATTTGAGGGGCCTCACTAGAAGAAATATTATTGTGCTGGAGTTTCTATGAAAATTTTCTTGGTGATATGATATCTATGAAAACTAATAGACGGTTTGAAGGTTGGAGATGCCCGTAATAGCCCACCCGTTATGTAAATGCCACGCGTGGCTTTAACAGTCGTGCCCCTGTCTTTCTTGTTTCTGTCCTCTCACCAATCTAAGCCTCTTTTGCACGGAGACACCCACTTTGTTTATAAATTTTTAGATTTCATATCACTATTTTCATTTTTATTTTTTGCAACCTATGTAATCCATATGTTGATATGTATAAGATTTGCCTGTCAAGATGGTGCAGTTCAAGTTCAATCAAAATCCAACTTACTAAAAAAATTTCTAGAGACAGGACACAAGTAGAAAAGGATTTTTTTATTCAAACACACGTAATCCAGGTCCATTGGTGGAGCTTGAGAAAAAATTAAGAGGACATCAAAACTACAATACACATGGATTATGGACTATATATGTGGCTATTATTAAGCTTCATCAACGAAATTTCCTAAATATGTATCATTCTCTAAAGGATGTTGCACAAAATTAAAGAGGGAGTGAGGCATGGCCCTCTTTGCCATTAGGAACTCCAACCTTGTCTAGGTCTAATAAGGAGATTGAAAAGAAAATATACTTACACACAATAATGAATGTATATAAAACTCTTGGATGATAGAGTATCATTCTAGAGATCAGGCTTATTACATTTATCTTTCTTTCCAGAACATGATGGGTCTGAAAAATAGGAACCCTTTTCCTTAGTGGGAAAAAATAAACTAAGTTTTAATTTAGCCTTCTTATTTTATCCAAACAATTCCTACATGGAAGTGGCCACTGTGAGAATAAAATGTATCTAATTGTCTCTCATCCAGTGTCAAATCTAAAAAGCAGATGAAACATGAATATGGTCCATTTTGGCAACATCGAGAAAATGAATATATCTAAAATTGATCAGAATTATATTGGCAATAATACTTTTTAATGCTCTTTTGAACCACCGTCTACTTTCTACTCCTTTAGATCATCGTGTCTTTTGAATTGTAAGCAATAGTGATCATTTGCATACACAAAGGTACACAGGAAATCAATTTTGCAAGAAAAACATTCCAGGTTGTTTTGGATTTATGCTCTTCAGCAAGCCCATGGTTACATCACGGGTCATTAAGAATCCAAACATTGCATCAAAGAGGGAAACAAATAATATCACAACACATAGTTGTAGAGTAATTCTTGATTATTAAGGATTATTGTTTTTCCTTATGCTACATAAATAAGGCACCTGAATAATTAGGAATGATGTTAAATCCATGATTGTCCCAACATAAGCAATTTATTATTATACATGAAAAAGGTGTCTGAATCGTAATGAGTTAAGAAAGAGTAGATAGATTTTATTATTAGTGAGTATGGCGACTACGCTGTTGTACCCTATTAGACAATTCCCGTATACATGGTCATATATGGATAAATTGAAGATGGAATGCAAGTATCTTATAAATGTGTAAAGAGGGGAAAAAATAAAATTCTTACATAACTGATGTTGACTAACTGTAACCGTTGCTATATCAAGCCACTACACACTGTGATGTAATGTGTTCCTTATGACTTCCAATTCATAGGAACATGCGGGTTATATAAACGAATTTTATACTTTGGAGCTAATGGTTGGTTATCTTCATTCCTAACCTCATTTTGTTAGTGTTACATCATTGCTCGGAATGTAATGTGTTTCTTTATTCCCAAAGCTCAGCTCAGGATTACATCATCATTATTGTCTACAATCCGAAGATCGTAAACAGCTTAAAAGTTACATCCAAGAGCATTAAGCTCGATTCTCACACGTGAGCACAGAAACTAACACAAAACAATGAAGATGATATGCAAATACCTTAAGTAGACGTGTACAGATTCGAAAACTACAATTCTTATATATCAACCTACTACATCGTGATGTACTAACTACATGTCTATTTGTAGCGAGCATGATACCTTTCTCTATTTGTAACCACATGCATATACTCCCTCCATCTCAAATTATAAATTCATTCTAACTTTCTTGGAGAGTCAAAACATCTCAAGTTTGACCAAATTTATATAATACAATAATAACATTTATAATACCAAATAAGTATAATTAGATTCTTCATTAATTATATTTTTATAGTATACCTATTTGATGTCATAAATTTTGGTAATTCTCTCTAGAATTTTAGTCAAACTTGAGATATTTTGACTCTCCAAACAAGTTAGAATGACTTATATTTGAAAGGGGGAGTAGTGCTGTATAGTTAGTTGTGCTGAGGCGATCCTATTAAAATCGGTTAGGACTCTTATGCTCTAGAGAGAAATGACACATAGACACGGATGACTAATTGACGATAGGTTGTACGTGCACGAGTGCCTCGGTTTCTACTACATCCTTTTCAAATTACAAAATATTTAGGCTTTTCTAAATATATTATTTTTACTGTGCATCTAGACATAGCATATATCTAAGCACTCACTAAAGTATATATATATATATATATATATATATATATATATATATATATATATATATATATATATATATATATATATATATATATATATATGTGTGTGTGTGTGTGTGTGTGTATATGTGTGTGTTTTATATAAAGACAAGACATCTTCTAATTTGGAATAAAAATACTAGTTTTTTTTTCATATAAAGTTTCCGGGATGGGAGAGGCGGCACACACGCGTGGTGTGGGGGCAGGGGGCCTGCTCTGATCCGACTGATCGACGATCACGATATGCACAATTATGCATGTGTTGTGTCCCATGCATATGGCGCATGCATGCATTCATCCATGGGATCCGGATCCGGCCAATCCTTGCAGAGCACGTACAGTACGTACGTTAGACCGGTCAAGGTAGCTAGATCGATGATGATGACGATGATTGTTTGAGCTGCAGATATATATATATAGCTGGATTATATATATTTTTTCGGATCGTCCATCGGCCGGGGTTGTACGTGCACGCATGTATGGCCGGCCGGCCGGGGTTGTACGTGCACGCATGTATGGCCGGCCGGCCGGTCGCCGGTGGGGCAGCAGCAGCCAGCAGGCCGGGCTCATCGTCATCGTCAGGGCTGCAGGCCAGCTGGTGCGCATGCATGCATGCACGTCCGGCACGGTACGGCCGTGAGACGGCCACACGGCTAGCTGGGCCAGCATCGATCGATCTCGATGAGTCGGCCGGCCGGGTACGTATAGTGTACAGACCGACACGACGACCACGGCCGGACAGCAGGTGGCGCGGGCGGTCGAGA